CTCTTTCCCCAAACTTACAGTTGCTTTATCTAAAACCTTTACTGAGTTTTCATCCGCAACGTTGTGCTTTCTAAGAGCTTCTTCCAGGGTCCAAAGAGGTAACGTCTCCCATTTTCCAAACACAACTAAGTCAATATCACTGAAATGGAAGGAAAAAAGAAATATTGGAATTAAAAGACTGACACACTTCAGGACAACTGACATCCACACATAACGAGAGGAAAGCTGATGGATTATAACTTAAACAATTTATTCTTAATTTTCTTAGGCCAGGGGTGGCGGCGAGGAAACCCTTACGCTTAGGGATACACAGGATATTTCAGATTACCAAGGGTAGGGGACAGACATACATACAGATCAACTGGGTTGCCAAAGTCAGAGGTTAGTCTCCTCAGGCCACACTGTCAGCAGAGAGGGATCAGCTTCTCCAGAGGGTGATTCAGAGCAAGAGATGAACTTGTTGTGAACTACCACCTTTGGGCTGTATTAATCAGTAAGGTTGATTTAACAACCTGCCACTGAAAGGGAAAGTCCTGTTCACCCTCCTCCACTCCCAGATCCTGTCCTTCTCCTTTACTCCAGGTCTGGTAATTGTCTAACCCACAGTAAGGCAATTCAACATACTGGCCTGGCAAACCTTCCCCCACATCCCAACCATGCTAAAAAACAAAATCAGCCGAAAAAGCCACCCTCTGGGGCTGATTTCCTGCCACGTAGTTGCTCAGAGTTGGTTTTCTGGGTGATCAGAGCACCAAAAGTGGCACACGGCAAGCAGCTGCGGTGTAGTGCCAAGAACAGGGAGCAGGGAAGGATGAAGGACAAGTATGGCAACTTTGACTTCAGGAAACAACAGGCGGTTAATGAGATCAAACCATCTAATTAACTTCACTCACTAACTCAGCTCCTCAAAGGAGCACTTCCCTCCCTCTATATTCCCCCCACCATGCTTCCATACCTCATTTGACTATAAAGGGACCCGAGACCTTATCTCAATACCTAAACTCAAGTTCAAAACATGACTGGTATCCAAACCAAAATCAGCCTTTGCTGTCTTCACTTAGGGATCCTGAGCTCATTCTCTTTGCTCCCCTGACCTTTTTTTCCTCGATTTCCCCTGCTTGGCTAGGGAGTGCCAAGGAAGAGAGTACAACCCTGGAGTTACACTAGGAGGCTACTTCAGCAATATGGAAAACTGCATGATACAAAAACACTAGGGAAAAAAAAACCATCCACAGCAGTTAGGAATACTTCCTTTCACGTAAATTTTACAGGTGTGCCAATTCAAAAATAACACTGCTTTAACAACCTCAAAGCGTTCAAAGCACCTACAGCTTCACTAGACACAACCTCTCTTGCCGACAACTAGTGTCGGCAACAGGCAAGTCCAGCACCAGTTCAACTGCATACCATTGAGCTGACAAGGACGAGCAGCATTCAGCAAGTGGCAGAAAACTACGCTTCAAACCTGCTTGGAGAGCAGGTAACAGTGCTGAACACTTCTCTCCTCATCCACCTAAATTAAGTTAGTGCGAAACCCAGTGCTGATGTTGACTGCTAACAATAGCAGAGATTTTTCTGATGCACACCAAGAACAGAAAAAGCAGCTCTGTTATCACCTTGAGTATACATATTACCTGCAAGATAACACAGAGATCCAGCAGCTGAACAACCATGCATCGAAATCTTCAACATCAGCTTAAGTAAAAGGATATTAGACAAATTCTAACACAGAGCAACAGAATTAGAAACACAGCGTAGGTCCTTCTGAATTCAAGATCTTGAAATCTATAGATTAGCTATACAGGTACTGAAGAGTGGGGGAAAATTATGGCAAAGTGAAGCTTTCTTAAAAGGTAACACTGAATGAATTACAACTAAGTGAATTTTGGTTGATTTTGAAGTTGTTGAGAAGTACCACTATAGGAAGGGGGTTTTGGCGGGGTTTGTGCATGTCTATGTGGTTTTAAAGTATCTGAAGTTGCTCTCCTCCAAAAACTCAGCTGCAAGCAGGAAAGGAAGTATATGAAGCCAAATGGACAACAGGAAAGTATTTTGAAACTAGCGTTAAAAAAAAAAAAATCAGGCATATATAGTAAAGAACTCTAGCTATCAGTCACGTAAGAATACATCTCTTGCATTATCAGCATCCAACCAAAGTTCAATCAAACAAATTTAAAATAACAAAAAATGGTAAAGAAGGCCACATGTAAAAAACTGAAGTGTATTTGCAGGCCTTACTTTCCAGAAAAACACTGAGCTATTCAGCTTTTCTTGCAACTCCTCAGATAAATACCTATCTGTACAGAATCTTTGTTCATCTGACAGATGTCTTCTTTTCAAAAGAAGATGAAACAACTCAAGTATCCCTCTTACTTGTAGTCAATACTAGGTATTAATTCCTCATGTTCCCAAAGAATATTTTGGAATACCTACAAAACTGAATTCAAGTGTTAAACTCATTTAAATAGGAGGAGGCTGAAGTTATCCTCAGCAGCCATTTAAGCCTTGTCATTCTATTTCTATTTTAACTGTCAAAAGTACTTACAATTTCTACACAGAACATTTGGGTATCATTCAGGTATGACCTTTCTTTATGAAAATTAGTAATGGATTTTGAAAGTAGAGGTTGGCTATTGTACAGGTTTCATAAAAGAAGACTGAAGGGAACAAAACAGAGGTGTATATGTAATCTATGTATACTATTTTTATCTTCATTGCTAACATTAGAATTAATAAGATAGTATTAAATGTTTTGATTTAGTCTTGTGCAGAGATGATAACATTTAGCTTTTCTTAAGGCCAACCACTTGTTTTGGGTCAGTCATTTAATGAAGCCAAAACACAAAATAAGCCTCTATGATAATGATTACGACTCCTGTATTATTGTTAACAGTACTAATTACTATATTTCCATACATTTGGCTGAGTATTAATAGCTTAACATTTTCTTAATTTAAGCAGCATACACATAAGCAACACAAATATTGGGAGATATATCACTACAGGGGTACAGGTTCCACAGGGCATCTTTTTCTTGTAGAGAATTTACATTGCAAAATTACCAACCTTGTAGGCAAATATAAACCAGTTTTAAAACTTCCAAATATCTGCACCTGAAATACAAGAACAGGGTATTAGAAAAATATTTTTTTCAGGCTTCAGAAGTCACCAAACAGATTCTACTAAGTAGCTTCTAAAGGTTGATTATTGCTTCCCTCCATTGGTAGATTTTGGTATTGCTTAGCTTCTGTTCATAATGTGCATGTTCTCTTCTCTGCTAAGCACTTATATCTTTGTTTCTTTATACCACATTAGAATCTTCCTTATTATTTCCCATGCAAGTATAGATAATAACGTTAATAACTTTATTGATTTTTCTATTACAAATCCTTCTTTTTAATATAAGAATTTTCACCAGGACCAAATTCAGCAAAAACTATAAAACAAAAGATTTTAAAACACTGAAGAACGACAGAAAATAAAAAACAGCATTACTTAAATTTATTTTTTCTTTTCATGTCTCAAAATAGAATCTTCAGTTTTTAAACGTATTTTTCTAAATATAAAGATTAATGTCTTTCAGCACATTTTTATACTTACAAGAAGGTTTTTAAATCAAGATACAATCTTTTCTGAATTATACAGCAGTTAGCACAATTTATTTCTGCTTAAACTAAAAAACAATAGCTTCAGAACTTCTCACATCACACAGGTTTAGTTTATTGTGCTGGGTTGTTACTAGCACTAGAGGTTTAAGCAACAAAGTACCCACTGCAAGCTGTCCAAACCCACGTTCTCATTAACTTAGCCAACACTCATGGGGAGGTCAGACTCATGCACTAACTTTGGAAGGGGCACTGGGGAGACTTCAAAGTAAAAATCTCTACACATTCGGACTAACTGTCAGCTAGACAGTTTTCTGATGTGTTTCCTGGAGCCACCTTACAGAGGTATGTACTCTGCTTTAATCAGTCTCATACTCTACCTCAGTTTCCACTGATATAAGTGTCAAGTGACCCACTTCTTATACCTTTCCCTTTGGGGACAGGAAAAGAAGGAAGGGGGGAAAATTAAGCTGTTTTGCAAATAAGTGTCTAGATAGTTTAATATAGATTCTAAGCAGCAGCACAAGTGCTCCCTCTTGGTTATTTTACATCATTTCACACACTCCAACAAAAAGTACACACTCGCAGTACATTTGTTTTCAAAAGTTCATAGCTTCTCACACTAAAAAAGACTGCAAGAGATGCCAAAGGACTAGTACCAATATTTTACTGTATCTCGACAAAAGTATAAAAGTACCACAGAACTAAGAATGTAATAACAACAATGACCGTTTTAACCCACAATAATAATAAAAATCTCCTCTGTCAGTCAAACTCTTTTTGGTTCAGCCAAATCATGATTTATTTCACCACCAAAAATGTCTTAAAAGTGCTTCTGCACCAATAAAAACAAACACTATCCTAGGATTCTGAG